GATCCTTCGACTAAATATTCATTTTATTCATATAAATAGGTCCCAATTTCCAAAAAAATATAAAAAATGCTTGGCTCCCTTAAAAAGAATTAGAAAAGGAGTCTCCAATGGGGTACGCTGAAAATACCCTTACCACTTCTAACGTTTTCTTTTAAACAAAAAAACAGGTGCAGATTGAAAGAGGAGAGATTTTAATTCAGCATTTAAAGTTAATGATATATTTTTTATATAGGAAAGTCAAAATTAAGATATTTAGAAATTAAAATTATAAAATATTTAATTATAACTATCATCTGAGTGAGACTCTATTTATACCACACTTAAATGTTAATTATGATTGGATATTCTAATAATTTTAATGTTAAGATGTTTTAATTTTTTACATACTTTTTTTATAAGGGTTATAATTAATTATTTTTTAAGTCAAATGACTTAACTTCTAAGGAATTTTTTTGATATGTGCTGTTAGAGCATAGATTAATAATATATTTTTTTAATAAATTTATATAGAAAATATAAAAATAAATATTAAATTTAGTGTAAATATCATGTAAATAAATTTAATTAGATAATAAATTAATTAGATTTTATTTTTTATTTTTTCAAAACTATTAACTATTCAACCTATATATTTAAGGTAGATATTAAAAAAAAAAACCCAACTTCTAATTAAAATACACCTTTCATAAAATTTATAATCCATTGACATTCTATGCCAGCTGCCTGAAATTCTAACTAAAATGCACACTTCCTAATGACCGGAGTTCAAGTGCATTACATATCACATTCGGCCTCCGCTATAGCTCCGAAAAGTGATATGACATAAAGGTGTATGCATGATTAATTCTAATCCAAAGCAATATGACATAAAGGTATATGCATGCTTAATTCTAAATTTTTAATACAAATCGATATAACTAATTTGTTATTTTGGTTCAATAAAGTTAATGAAAAAGTTAATAATAAGTGATATATACGACAGAGTATATGCCATGACTAATTTGAATAGGGTTTCAAAGTTCACTGTATCGCATTTGTCCTCCACGATAGCTCCAAAAATTCTTCACGTCATTCTTTGTACCCACTGTTAGTAATGATGAGCATTGAATCCATTGGGGCAAGTGCACCTGGAAATTTATGCCACCTTTAGGGTGAACTTTAGTTCGACAATATTACTTTTAATACTTTTTGTATATCGAAAATCATTTTACAAGATAAATTATATGTAATTTATTTTATAAAATT